GGTCGTGTCTATGCATTAAAGTAACCAAAGCAATATTAAACAGGAGAGAAAGCAAACCACCACAAAGGAGGTTAACATCGAGACTGAGTCGTACAGGAGGACTACATCGAATTTATGAAGTGATACCCAGACCTGCCAGCTCCTTCCGGATCTCAGCCTCCCCATCCATCTTCTTGAGCTGCGTGGCTTCGAGACGCTCACCGCGCTTAGCTTTCTCCTTGAGCTCATCGATGGCCTTGAGCTGTAGGTAAAGTGTAATTAAACAACAAATTAGAAGTCGAAAACGAAGTAACATACCTTTTTGTTCAAATTTCGGACCTTCTTAGCCACCGCATCGAGGGCACTATCCAGACCAGGTGTAGTTGGGGTCTCCACCTCAATGATCGTCACAGGAGCAGGCACAGGAGCAGGAGCAGGAGCGGGAGCAGGAACTGCCTGAACTCCGTTAGCCTTCTTGTTACCCTTGCCCGACTGCTGGCGTCCTTCTCCATTAACCACAACCTCCAACGGAGGCCTTCCCTCCCCTCCCTCCTCACCTTTCTCCCCATCTTTCTTCCCCTTCTTCCTCCGGTTCTTCTTCTCTGCATCCGGGCCCGGGCTTGGGCTGTGCGCAGCACCAGGCACCTGCCTGCGCGCGCCATTCTGCCCACCCTGACCACCCTGATACGAGCCATTCTGACCGTAACCAGGTGCACCAGGCGGGTTGGGGCTGCGGTTATATCCCCTAGGGGGCGTGGCCGTCCCGTTGGTAGGTTGTCTCGGGGCACCACCTTCGTCTTCTCTTTTGAATATAGCCGGGGTCGCAAGACCACGCGCACCGGGCGGGCGATATGCACCTGCTGGCTTTGAAGGAGTGGGCTTCTGCGCCGCGTGGAAGGTGCTCACTGTCTCGCTGGGAGGTGGAGCTGGGGGAATACCTTGCCCAAACTGCGGCACGGCGTCGATGGGAGTAGGACGCCATGATGTTTGGTACAACTCCTCCGTTAATTGAACGTGCATGAGGGGTCCACTGCAATGCCAGATTTTGATGCCGTTATCAACACGAAGACGGGGAGAGAGGGTCGCAGTGAGCAAGAAGCGACCGTCAGGAGACCACGCGCAGTAGGAGGTATTCGGGGCGTCGATAGTGGTGACCTTGGAAAGTGTACGACGATCGAAGATATCGATCTTGCCAGCAAGATTACCGAATCCAGCAAGTGCAATTAAACGTCCTTGCGGGTTGAAGGAGATGAAATTGTGTGGCGATGCACCAAAGTCGTGCAGAGTGCGCACGCGTTGGTCGAAGAGCATCGTCTTGGCTGGCATGTCTGTGGTATTTTTAAACATCAGTATTTAAAACGTCAGTCACGCGACCACGCACATCCGTACACGACACCAAATTCCTTTGAGTTCGGGCTCCAAGCAAAGTCGTGGATGGGTCCTTCCTTATCAAGAACGACACGGCAGTCGAAGTTGCCTGCAGCGCTGAGAAGGTACATGCCCGTCTCTCCGTAGTAACTCTTGTTCGAGTTGTCGACCTCAGTCTGCGTGAGTAGCAGAACCTGTGTGCCGAGGGTATTCCACTTGATCTGGGCCCTGTCAGCTTTGAAGAATGTCTTTTGGCATGTTGGCGGGCCGTTTAGCGTTAGCAGACCATAGATTTTGATGCTCGCGGGAGCGCCCTGTATAGTTGTCAGTATAATACCCCTCAGTAATACAAACAACGCACCTTCTTTTCAGCAACGAACACCGCCACGGACGGGTTCAGTCCCGGACTCAGCGACACGCTAGTCGCTCCCTCCACCCTCAGCTTGTCCACGATTCCCTTCGACCATTCTGAGGGGCGGAACACCTGGAGCTCAGGCCCCACAAGACGGATGGCATGCGACTCAGAAATGGTGTATTGAAGGTCCCAGCCCTCCTGTGATTTTTGGGTGAAGGCAATCAGCTCCTCTCCGGTGGATGCGGAGAATACCCGCAGGTTTTTGTGTTGGGCGCCGTCTTCGAGTTTGGCTGGTCGTTCCCAGGTGGAGATGTAAGTCCCGCGAGGTGAAAAGCTGATCTCGACGATGTTGGGTAGGGGTAGTTCCTGCAGTAACTGGGCGCCTTCTGCTTGGAATACTCGTACCCTGTAGAATCAAGGGTGTTAGCTTCGGCGGAGAAGGGGTTCGTTCTCCAAACACGAGGAGAAAGTGAGGCAGAATGCAACTCACATAGTGGGCAATGCATACGCGTATAGTCGGCCGTCAGCACTGTAAATAAAAGTGCGTGCTGGGACATCGGGAGCGAGAAAGCCTGGTATGGGGGTGTACGAAGGTGTCCCGCTGACAAGGCCTAAGGACTTTTGGGCACGGTCTAAAAGACAGCAATCAGTGCTTGGTTCTTTTAAGTGTTAAAGACGCAGTGGCAACGATCGGACGACTAGAATGATGATTCTTGTTGCCTTCCAGACTAAAACTATCCATCCACCATGAAAATTCATGCACGAAAAAGCCAGCTTTGGCGCAAAGGTCAAACTGTCTTATATCGCGCACGTGCGGTCGAAAAAAAAAGTTGATACTGACATGCGTACTGCTGGGAGATCTGAGAGGCCATTGTAGTAGTACACAAGAAGAGAGGGGGTTCGAGATACAAGGAAGACGGGGCAGAAGCAAGTTAATGCTTCGAGGAGGGGGAGGAGAGGAGATGAAACCGGGGAGATGGTCACAACCAAAGTAAAATGTCCAGATTACCAGATCTCGGAACTTGCCACAACGGCACGTGTGTGATCAGAACTCACTTTAGGGTAGGCTCGGCGCCATTTCTTTCCGTCGTTATCACCGGAAGTTCCTCATGACAATCCCGAGAACATCGACGTCGAAAACGGTAAGGGAAGGAGCGGAGGAAAGAGAGAAGGAAGGGATGAACTTCAAGTTACCATCTTTAATATACTTAAGAGCTAAAAGGTGAGCACTCTTCCATGGGATGGAAGGATTTATTCAAGTCGTCACTTTGCATATAGACCTTTCTGAATGTCAATTCCGCTGTGATCGAAATTTTAGGTGTGAAAGGTTCAACATATTCTGAACGTCTCGCCCCAAACCAGCAGATATATCCTTGACAATCATAGAAGACAAGATGGATAACCGACCAGTGAACTCGTCCTGCTAGAAGTTTTAGACTTGTGCAAATTAGTCGCGTTGGGTCGCTCTTGTCATGTGTCTACAATGTTGAACTCCGCAGTCCGCTGCTCCTCGGCAAAATGCGGTTAACGTCGTCCCTAGGTTCACATTTGCTTGATTATTCGATGGCTTTATATCCCTCTCGATTCACTAACTATGCATTCTTAAAAATATTCTTTCCATTATGCAACGCATCGTTTCAAATTTGAAGTACGCTCGGAATCTCCGCTGAGATTTTTCCTCTTAAGCCGAAGCCCCTGGACGTTCCTCCAAGAAATTCACATAATCACCTAGATTGGTCGGAGCCTCACGTTTTATTCATGGTTTTTATCTATCCTCGTCATCAAATTCATTAATCTGATAGGCCATTACAGAAAAGATGGCAATTTCTCATGGCTTCTGCATGCCAAATGCACGTTCCTCACCATGCTAAACCTGGCGGACAATGTGCGAGCGCCGCCGAGTGAACACAGGCAGCAGTGTTTTATTAATCAAATTTGGAAAAATTCTTTAACTAGCAATTGATTCGCATGAGCCGAAGCTACAGTGAAATGTGGCCTAACCAATACGCTTTGGCTGCTTGGACAGTAACGCTTGGACATATTGACATTTAAATTGTTGGCCGAGGGGCCACATCAAATGCCTATAAAACTCGTGGCTATTACGGTATTCTGATCGTCATAATCCCACCTATTACTCCCACCTGCAGACCTCACCTTGAAATCTCCACCGTCAACATCGCTTAGTTTATTTCACTTGAACCGCAATGGCATCCCACAGTCAATACATCTCACCTCACCAGCTCGTTGAGCAGTCTCATGCCGAAGACTCCTATTTGAGCGTAAGTGCTTCCCCGATAACTTATCCAGATCATCAACAGGCACTCACCCTGCACAATCTATACTCAGCAGACTTCCCGCAAGCAGCGCGATTTTGGAGCCCTTGCTCCTGGACGCCCTCATAGGCTAGCTCAGATAGTACCTCCTACCCCAAGTGCTATTCTTGATGGTTCATACCATCGATACTTGAACTCCTCCGAGGAGCAAGACCTCGTTATTTATTTTCCGCGTAAGCCTGAGTATACCGGCGCTCCAAGTATCCCCAGCATCAACTTCTCTGTAAACGGGAAGCCTGGACCATACATTTCTGACATCTGCAAGGGGAAGGTTAGCATCGACGGCGGGTATGATCAAGTATTCGCATATCATGGATGGAGGCAATCGAGCTATATGATTGATGTGGGTTTTATTTTTCATCCGGCTTTTGTTATGTTTTTGACACCGTAGACGCGCCTGTAGTGGCCTGGAATCAAACTGGGAATGAATTATCTTCCTGTCGTGGATGATAAAGGCAGACCCGTCAATCGAGCGCAGTTCGCGGCTGTCCTCGCCGTAGCAATTAAGGGCCTTATACTCAACACCCAGAAGGGTGCTGCATTGGTATGTGATATCGTCCGTTCTGTTGTGGGAGTTGACTTACATACGACTGTAGCCTCTAGGACCTCAAATAATGGACGCAAATAGTGAAGGATGGTCCATTTATAAAGTTAACTATCGCGACGTGCGCCTTATTGGAGTCAATTACTACAAGAAAGTTTGGATCCCCGTTCTAGCTGTGGACGCAGAATATTAGATGTCTTCCACTTCAGTATCATTTTGGCTGTTATATTTTAATCATTGTACAGTAAACTCAATTCTGATTATGTTTTCTCGTATTACTTAGGGGGAGGATTTTAAAAAGAAGTTATAAACCAGTTAGCGTCTACAATTGGAGATGAGCACCATACAAAATTTCGGGGCTTGAATTTGACGACGCTGTCATTTCTTGAGACCTTGCTTTACGCTCCCCATCAATTTTATATCGGGTATGGTGTAACGGCTAACATTGCCGCCTCTCATTTCCATAGCATCGACTCGACTGGATCGCGGCAGCTCGGGGTTCGATTCCCCGTACCCGAATCTTTTGTGCATACACCGGCATTCAACCTGCATGCAGCCATGTTCTTTGACCAGCTCTTCATCCTACATCCTTTTGGCCGTTATAAATTCTAGAGCAAAAGATGCGATTCATAACCGATCCACTATAGACAATTCCGGAAAACCAGGGATAACTGTGGATTCGGCAGAGGGAAGTAATGGCATTTCTTCGAATTCAGAGAGTCGATTCCAAAAGCAAAGTCAAGTCCCAAATCGATTTTGAAGCAGCGCGTTAGACAGGGGAACGCAAGCTGATATGGAAGTAAATGGTGCAGTTCGTACAGATGTGTGCTCTAGGGTGTTTCAGAGCTCAGAGTTGCCTTACGAGTCAAGGTACCATCCGAGACAGTCACATGTGTCATGTAGTCAATACACGCAATTTCAATAATATAGGGTTTACCCTCTTGCTTTACTACACCAACTTTCTCTATCCACCTACTACATCATTGATTTCATTGATAGTGATAAATGAATCGCCGCTTTCACTGAGCTGCAATCTACTAGTTGAACATTGCAATTGAATCTGTAGTTTGATTGGTATAAGCAACGAGTAAAATACGCCTTCTACGCACTGATACGGTCAGCAGCAGGCTAGGCATAAGCGAAACATTAAAAAGGTCCAAATTCAATCTTATTCTCATTCCTCCATCTGTATAGTGCTGCGGATCCTTTGGGCCGCCCTTGAAGAATTTCGTATTGAATCCCACGACAAAGGTCTGTGCTATGTATCTCGATTCGATGGTGTAGAAATCCTAATGATGCATTAGAGTTTCCGTCTTCCTGCAGAAATCTCAACAACCGTCCGGTCGGAGATGAGTACAGGCTGTCAAGTACCACAACGTCGAGCTTGCAAGACACAGTCAAGCTGCTGTCTATTTCATGGCTAGCGGGGTTCGAGCTACCAGCGGATGTGCACACGGGTGCCAGATAAGTAAATACGTTCTTCCAGCTACCACCAGCTAAAACAATGCGCTTTAAATACAAACTGTTTAGCTGCGGATTATTTCGCAGAATCTGTAGTATTGAATCCTCTTCGATGTATGCTCCACGTAACGTGCATTTCTTCAGCCGATGAAGAGGCGCTTTTTGTGCAATACTGTCCAAGTAAATGACACTTTGGCCTCTGACATTAAACCCATGAACATCTAGTTCTTCGACGCTGGAAGCGAGGGAAAGTAGTTCTGCTAGTGCCATGTGATGTTCATCATTCGGGCTGTCCTCCTCTGCGTTGACCTGCTGCACATTGTCCTCTTCTATGCTGTCCTCCTCTGTTACATATGGAGCCACACAGATATACAGTTTCTGAAGTGAGGTGAGAGCAGTGGTAATGCCTTCGGCTTTAAGCTGAGGAAGTGCATAATGCAGATCATGCAGAGACAGCGCGCCTCCCCACTCTCCACCATACACATGCAGGGAACTTAGAGCAAGGCCACTCTGTGCAACTGCTGCCATGGCCGCGATGAATGTATGGGAGGTGCATCTCCACAGCTGCGGGAGGTCGGAACAGAACCGTGCAGGACGACGTACATCAATATCTTTCTGGATATTGACTTCGAATGATAGAGCCAGAGGTACAGGCTTCAGATTGTGAAATATGATGCCTAGCATGCTGATATCAATTCCAGCAGTTTGGACGTGTTCTTGATCAGCTATTTTCTGAAGAATCAAGTCTCGATCTGCCTTTGCAACTTCGAGCTCTTCCTGAGTGCAATTCACCGTTGTCGTACATGTGATCATTCCAGTCTGTTCAACAACGCGCCTCGTTCCTGTCTCTATGATTTCGTCTAATCGTGTCGTGCTATAGATTGTTGCCAGAATGGTAATACTTTTCACGCACGATGCAAGATCGACATTTTGGCTAATCTCGACTAGGGTTCTCAAACTTTCCTGTGATAGATTTGTCGTTTGATGGACAAAGAAAGTTTTAAATCGGTGGCTTAACTTTTCGCAAAACCCTCGACAGCTGAGCCGGAGATTACGGACGTCTGTAAGCTCGAGGTCATGAACCGTATGTTCCATTAACTCAGGGGGCATGTTCAGTATGTTGGCCATTGTGATGCTGTTGTCGTGTTCGTACAAGAGGGATGATGGTGTGGGTAGCAGAATGACGGTAATTGTGTGAATATGTACTTAAGTATGGCTCATGATGAACTATTAATAGAATGATGACTATCAAGGTCGAACTATGATCTAGCTTCCTAATTGATCGAATCTCCCAAAAGCCCAGGGTGTCGTCGAAAACTTCCCAGAACTATCAATGGTGATAATAACCATGCGATCACTTTCTGTATCGATTTATTTACACTTTTAACTTGTAAAATTTACAGTTACAAGCTTTCCGGCTATATTTGTTACCATCACTGGGCTACTAAACGAGAAAGAAAAAACTTGGATAGATTAGAATATAATAAAAAGAAGAGAAGAGTATGAGTCGAGAGGAGTCATAATTGCAGACCCGAGCGTTAATGCAATGGAATTACCGATGAACAGGAAAACAACCGGCACCTACACGGTACCGACAAGACAGTGGTTACTAGGTGGACGTTACACAACTCAACCCAGTCTCTCTCTCTCTATATATATATATATCTTTCATTCGCTTTTCCACTTCTCCCTTAAAATATATAGCCATATGGCCAGTATATCATTCCACTTTCCCTCTGCAAATAGAGAGCCCAGACGAAATGGAAATCAACTCCGTGTTCGTCCTTACTGTGATTCCGACTATAATGAGGTTCGGGATCTTTTCGTAGTGGCCATGGGCACTGGCCGTACGTATTTTTTCTACACTATAAAATCCTCAATTTAAAACTATTCTGTTTAGCGGGTTCTCCCTGTCAAATTGCTCTTTCAGAACATTTGCAGAGGCCCACCACCTATCTCACTTATGCCATTTTCGGAGTTGGTTTAGCCATTTCCCTAAAACCATCACGCCGGAGTCTTGGAATGGCCCTTGCAATAGGTGCCTCAGCAGCGTTCTTCGGCGTGCGCTGGATTATATCTAAGGCATTCAGGGATTACTGCAATATGTGCCTGAAATCGGACTTGGCGGATATTGGGAACTATTATATGTCAACGCACTCGACCTCTACATGCAAGACCAGTCCACAGAATTTAAATCATCCGGACGCGGAACATGAGGACACAACCTTTGGGTCAATGGGAAGTGGATTTTGGGTGGTAGAGGATGTCTCGAATTTGGAGAACACTGGTATGAAGAAGATCGTTGGTTCTATAGGCCTAGGTGAGACCAATTATGTTACTGATTTTGGTTTACCTCATGAGGTAACTTTTACAATTGATAGATATGTCAACCACCACTGACCAGACAGTCGGGGAACTACGGCGCATGGCAGTCTCTCCTTATTATCGAAGACGAGGTATTGGCACATTTCTTCTAAACACCCTTATCACCCATGCTAGGAAACACGCGCTTTCCTCCGTGTTTTTGAGTACAAGCTCGTACCAAGAAGCAGCCATACGTATGTATGAGAAATATGGTTGGACCATAATTAACAAGAAGGACGCTTCGGATTGGACCATGAAAGTATACTGGATAGAGATGAACTTGGGTTTGAGTTGGGGCAACGGCTAGTATATTATACTGGCCGTCAAGACCAATATTCTGCAGTAGTAGCAACTTCCATTTCGCAAATGTACGCCCTATATCTTGGATAAATCTGTATTCTCTTTTATTAACTGTCATACAGCTCATTCATTTATGCTCAGGTGTTTGCGGCAATTTCTTCAGCTGGTACTACTACAACCAATTCAATGGTAACACTATTTCCGTGCCATACCATGGTAGAAAGGGAATCCTGAGGTAGTCAAATTTCCATCTGTAAGGAAGCAATCAATTCTGTTTAATAAACTTCGAATTCCCTTCATCATCTGCTCTGCTTTTGATCCAAGTTCAAGCGGCCGTGATACTATTTACAAATGAGGGTAACACCCATACATCGTAATGATGAATGGATGAGTGGAGGTGATTGATGAAAAGGCTTCGATGTTTTAAAAGAACCAATGCATAATGATAGTCAAAGAGATGAGTAAGTAGATGGTATGCGGGTTCATCAGCATTAAGGGAGTCAAATGCGTCCATGGTGGTGGTAAGAGAAAGAAAAGAGAAACGGTCTCTGGATCCATGCACCTATTTATCTGAGGTTTATTATCATTCCAATAAATCCAGTACAGCGTTTGGGAAATCGTTACGAGGATTATAAATCTACATATTACTGATATAGTATTCCAGGAAAACTCCTTCTGGATTCACAACTTGAGAAATCATGTCAAATTCGCGTAATGTGCGCGCTGTGATAGAAAGATTTATATTTCTCGCAAACACAGGCCATAGATATTATCTTCGCCCTCGCATTTCGAACACAAGATAATATGTGCTTCCTGGGATCAAATTAACCGTTGTATCAGGGGCGTCCATTCCTCGCAGGATTGTACCCATAGCTAACGTCGTTCGTGAAAGGTTAATCCGCTGACACGGCAACCCGTCTTAATTCACACTGCCAATTTGTGCACTCGGGACCATCTGGGCGATCGGAAAAATATTCCATAGAACGTTCACAACTTGCGATACCGTTGAGCTTGTTATCGAAGAGCAGGTGCCATCACGTACCACCGATGTTCCTCCGGAGAATGACATAATTGCACTATTCTATTCCAAGAAGGGCTTTGCTCACTATCTATCGTCATTCGCAAGGGTTGGTGGAAGACTATGAGAAATAAGGCGGGTTCAAACACCCCGGCTATGAGAACGGTGGCTGGATTGTGGGCAAATGCACCCATGGCAACATATTGGCATCAAAGCGGTTTGCGCAAAATATCTGGTTAAGGTACCATCTTCAAATTGACGCAGGTAGGGCCGTCGCCGAGCCCGCTGGCATGGATCATTTGGCTTACACACCTAGGGCTCTGAAATTTAGTAAAGAAACTGCGTCAAATTCACAACACATTATAAATCTATGACT